GATGGTTTTAATCCTTTTAAAACCATGAATGTAGCCCATAGTACATGGCCAGTAATATTAATGCCATACAATCTTCCACCTGCAGATTGTATGAAGAAGTCTTACTTTATGTTATCTGTACTTATACCTGGTCCCTCTGAACCCGGCAATAATCGTGATGTATATTTGCAACCCTTGATTGCTGAGCTAAAGGAATTATTTGAAGTTGGAGTAACTACATACGATGCTTCTTCGAAAACAAATTTCCAAATGCGTGCAGCTTTATTATGGACTATTAGTGACTTTCCTGGCCTTGCATCTATATTTGGTTGGAGTACGAAAGGAGAATTCGCTTGTTCCGTGTGTTATAAGTTTACTAACTCTAAATGGTTAGACAATTCTCGCAAGTACTGTTACATGTGTCATCGTATTTTCTTACCCGATGGTCATCCGTATCGAAATGAGAAAGCCACGTTTGATGGGAAAAAGGAACTTCGAAAGGCACCTCCTTATTTGAAGGGATCCACAGTATTAGATGATATCAAAAATATTGATAACAAGTTTGGAAAGAATGTGGGCGATTTAAATTTACCTTACAGCTGGAAAAAAAAAAGTATTTTGTTTAATTTGCCATACTGGGAAAAAAATCTTGTACGTCATAATCTCGATGTTATGCACATTGAGAAAAATGTGTGTGATAAGGTTTTGTATACATTAATCGATTCCGATAAGTCAAAGGATAACTATAAAGCCCGCATGGATTTGAAGAAAATGGGCATTAGGAATGCACTCCATCCTTATTCCGATGAGTTTGGAAAAGAGTGGATACCGACATCATCTTTCACATTAGATAAATCTGAGAAGGAAAGATTTTGTAAGGTGTTGAAAAATGTTAAAGTGCCCGATGGTTATGCTGCAAATATTTCGAGGTGTGTGCACTTGAAACCAACTAGGATTTTTGGTTTGAAGAGTCATGATAGTCACATAATGATGCAACAATTGTTGCCCCTTTCATTGCGCAATCTTTTGCCAAAGTCGGTACGTTCACCTTTGATTCATTTGAGTCGTTACTTTAGAAACTTGTGTTCTAAAACACTTCAAGTCGGTGATTTGACACGAATGGAAAAAGAGATTGCTCTCATACTTTGCCAGCTTGAAAAGATCTTCCCCTCTGCATTTTTTGATGTCATGGTACATCTGACTGTGCATTTGGTTACTGAGGCAAAATTAGCTGGTCCGGTACATTATCGTTGGATGTATCCTGTTGAACGGTAAAATTCTAATATTATTTTTAATTTTTAATTTTTAATTTTTATTTATATTATACTAGTATTAAATATTGCTGATTATGTAGGTACTTGAGTACATTGAAATCTTATGTACGCAACCGATGTCGGCCAGAAGGATCAATTGCTGAAGGGTATTTGGCTGAAGAATGTTTAGCATTTTGTTCATTATATTTCGATGAAAATGTTGAAACAAGACGCAATCGGACGAGTCGAAATAGTTGTGGAGGTGAAGACAGCACAAAAAGTTTAGATATTTTTTTTATGTCTGGTACTCCGTTATGGAAGGGGAAGGTAATTATTTTTGATAGCGAGACACTGGCAAAAGCTCATCGATATATTCTATTCAATTGTGATGAGATTACGGCATGCAGAGAGTACGTTGAACCCAGATAAAAAAAATATTTATTTAATTATGATGATATTTAAGTTGTTGCTTAATTTTTCATGGTGTTTATGCAGAGAACATGAAGCCCAACTTAGGCGGAAGAAACACCGTTCTAGGGAACATGAAATTAAAAACACTCACAGTGATACTTTTGCCTCTTGGTTTGAATGTCATGTAGGTCACTTTAAAAATAATAAGTTATCTATCTATAAGTCTTTTACTTTTAAATTTAAGCGTAAATGTTTTTTTGGCAGATTGAAGAATTGAAATTAAGTGAAGACGATCCTAAACAAAGTGATGTAATACGTCTTGCAAGGGGGCCTATTCCTGTTGGAACTAGATATAGAGGTTTTAAATTGAATGGGTTTCGATTTCATACTAGAGAACTAGAGAGGAAAAGAAAAACCCAAAATAGCGGTGTGATGGTTAATGCAACAACTACAAGTTTCGCAAGCAAAAAAGATATGAGACCTATCGTACAAGAGATGATGTATTATGGGATCTTGAAAAATATTATTGAGTTCGATTACACCGGTGGAAAGAAGATTGTATTATTTGATTGTGATTGGGTATCCAAAGGCAGAAGGCAAAAAGAGAATGATGATGGATTCACTTTAGTTAATTTTACAAAAATAAGGCGTCAAAGTGAACCTTTTGTTCTTGCATCACAAGTTCAACAAGTGTTTTATGTTGCTGATCCCATTGAAAAAGATTGGCATGTAGTGATAAAGACAAAGGCGAGAGAGAAGTTCGATGACGGGAGAGACGTAGCTATTGATGGCGTTGATACTATTGTGCAAAGTAAACCATGCAAAGATCGTCCTATCATTGAAGACGAACTAGTTTCTTGGGTTCGAGAGGGGGTTCCTGAAATTCCAGTGGATAGTTTAGATGATGCATGATGTTCTTAAGTAGAGTGTTGGTGCCTGCTAATTTTTTATTTATTTAGAATTTGTTATTTTTTATGATTGCAGGTGTCATTGGTTCTGTTACCAAGACACTTTTTATCATCTAAAATATAATTTAGTGCATGTAATTATCCTTATGTTTTTATATGATGTATGTAGTTGAGTAGAATTTTTGAATTTATGTATTTATTACAGAGTGATGGCAAGAACTAAGTATAGCAAAAACGGTAGGCAATTAAACCGTCAAAATGGCTCAAGTTTAAATAGGTTGGTCGACGAACAAGATCCCGAAGATATGTTAGGTATGTATCTTTATATTTTGCTATACTGGTGTTATTTCTTTATAATGCAATAGTAATTAATTCTTGATGTTGTTTTGAAACTATTATATAGGAATTGAAAGCATTCGGCGTGGCAAACGAATTAGAGATTGTGATGATCACCACCATCCATTGGATAATTCATATTCAAATGTTATGGTTAATGACGTAGAGGACACTACAGGTATATTTTAATATTGTAGTATACATGTCCATAGTATTTTTTGTAAATATCCCTTCAATTTATTTAACTATTTTTTTTTTTAATTTTACAAAAGATGTTTGTGATAAAAAAACTAGAGGGCCTACTTACATGGCACGTGTCTGGGTAAGGAGTGGGCGTAAAGAAGTTGAATTCAATTCGTATGGCCAACCAATTGGTCCAAACAAAAGTGAATATGTTGAATTTATCGGTACATTAGTTAGAAATGGCAAGTTACTTCCTATTGACATTAAAGATTGGCATGTAGTGCCGAATTCTACTAAAAGCAAGTTGCTGGATTTGGTTAAGGTAATACGATTTAACCCTCGTCTTTATACAATTGAAATATATATGTTTTGAAACTATTTGATCACTATGTTTGCATAATTCAGGAGAAGTTCTATGATGCACCTGGCTTTGAAAATAGAACATTGATGAATTTAGCAAAGAGTTGGAGGAGCTGGAAAAATAGAATAAAATCAAATTATTTTGATCGAAACAAATCACTGGAAGAAAACTTGCGCAGGAGACCTGATATTGATAATGAAAGAATTCTTTGCGATCAATGGAAAAATGCTGTGATTTATTGGAGTAGTGATGCTGCACAGGTAGAATTTTTTTTTAATAAAATCTTAATTGAAGATAATGCTACTATATAACTAGTGATTAATTCACTTTGTAATTTATTGATCCATAGAAGTTTTTTTTTTTTTTTTTGCATATTTAGAAAGTAAGTGATAAAAACAAAGATAACAGAGGAAACAAGAGCATGCATCATGTTACTGGAAAACGGAGCTTTGCGCAAGTTAGGCATCATATGAAGGTTTGTTTTCTCGTAGAGATAGTTATTCCAAATAGCATGCATCATGTACTTATTCAACTAACTATACATATTATCTTGTAGACAGAGTTAGAAACATCGAAAGATGCTACTGTTGATGATGAACAAAGTGGTGATAGAACACATGTTGATCCTATCGTAATTGAACCAAGTAGGTCTGAACTTTTTGAGAAATGCTATATTCGCAATGGAGAGTCATCTAATCCGAATGTAGCAGATTCTCTCGTAAGCGAGTACATTCATTTTATATACATATATTTTAAAATTTTAAATATGATAATGCAACGGTTTAATGTTGTCTAATTTAGAAGTTTGATTTGATCATTTACATGCGCAGCGTAAGATGAAAGAATTAATAAGTGAACTTCCAGATAATGCAAATGATAGTGGCCCAAATGACATTTTTTCTCAAGTTGTGGGACAAGATAAATAGGGGAGAATAAGGATGTATGGTTGCGGTGTCACTGCCTCTGATGTTTACGGTGACATGCCTAGACGAAGGTCTTCTCAGAACATCGTATGGCAGAATGAAATGTATGCATTAAAGCAAAAAGTTGAACAACAAGAAAAGATGATAACGGAGTTCATGAAAATGAACCAACAAAGACCTAGCCACTATTCTCCACCTCCATCTGAAAATAGAGTCACTTCATCATCATCTCACCCCCATTCGACCTCTCGTGGCCCCTCAGTCTCGTCGTCAAGCAAGACGCCTCTAAAGGTAATCCCTCAGTTTTCCCTTTTCATATGAACATTGACTATTTATCGTGTATTAAATTGGAATTACATGTGGTGAATGATTTATAGTTGATTGACTTTGCAATTCATATTATCAATTTATAATTATTAATGTAGGTTGGAGCAAAAGTATGTCTGAGAAGTATGTTTGAATCATCAAAAATTGTAGCAATTGGTATTCTTGCAAGCTTGGATCCATCGAAATGCGTTGGGCAAGTACGACTAGGGCAAAATTGGTGCGAAATCATTATTAATGTTGGAATAGCTATGGATGAAGACTTACTTCGACCGATATCAGATTCTAGAACTACTATTGGTGATGTTATTGGTGAGGCTATTGCATGGCCACATAATTTGGTAATACTCTTTGTATTTCAATATACTAAAAGTTATTCTGGTCCTTTTTATTAGTGATATAATTTATTGTTTGGTTGTCTTAATAGGTTACAGTAGATGGATAATTTTCAGAACATGGACTTCGAGATTTCATGGAGACGAGCTTTCAAGTTCTGATGTAAGATAATTCCCTAGGTGACTTTGTTTTTGGATGAGCTTTAGGTATTGCTCATGTTCTGGTACATTTTGCAAAATTGTTAGACTTTTATTGATATTATATGTTTTTCTATTAACTAGTGCAGTAACTAGAATTTTTTTTGGGAAAAACTTTTTGTTTGAAATGAAAATATTTGTTACTTTACTATTTATTTTGCCTTGGAAAAATGAAATGGATACTTAGTGATTGATTGTGTTTTTCAACCCCAATGGAGGTGGTGTTCGATTTAATTATTTGAGAAATGATTGACTATAATTTATATTTGAAAAGTGAAAATTAGAATTTTTTTTTTTTTAGTTTAATCTATATGGTGTGCCCGGTTGTGTCATAAAAATTGCACTGGGGACAAATTTGGTCATAACGATAACACCTATTGGGACGACGTCTGTGTCACATTAACACTTATTGAGACGGTTAATAAAATCAGTTAAAACTGTTGGAATATTTAATACGACGGTTGACAATGTCACAAGAAAACTGTTTTGGGACGGCTAGTGCAATTTGTTGGGACGCTTTAGGTTGTCATATTTAAAGTTAAGTAAAGCCGTTAAAAAACCTAATACGACGATATCTGGCGTCATAATAGAAATGAATTGGGGACGACTTAGAGCGTCATAAATTAAAGTTATTGGGACGCCGCTGATAATGCGTGACAACAATATATTAGGACGCTTACCTATGAGACGGTTTAGTGGGCCGTCCCAATAGATAAACCGTCTCAATATGTACATTTCGTGACACATTGTGGCGTCTTGATAAACTGTATTTCTAGTAGTGTGTGTTGACTCAACCGACTGTAGACACCGTTGCAGATAACACAACTACAGTACCACAGATCTAAAACTGAAAGCAATGGAACAGATAAATAACACGATATTTAAAGTGGTTCGACCTTTATTACCACAGGCCTACATCCACTGTGCAGAGCGAACAAAATCCACTAGATCAAGAAGGTTGCATATTAGAAGATAGTGATTACATTCAAGCTCTCAACAGCTATTTCACCTAAGTTGTATTGACACTCCCCTGTGTATACCTCATTGTTTCTCTCTTGTTTCCCAACCCCAAATCTCACAAACCCTGTGAAGATTTCCTTCTTGCTTTCCCTCTAGCTTCTTCTTTTGTTCTTGAGAGTTTCCTCTCTTTCCAGCCCCTCAAGCCTTATCCCCTTGATTGGCCTTATCCTCCAAGCCTCTCCACCAAGTGCTTTATATATGGAGCAAACCCTAGCAAAAAGCAAATGAAGTATCCACTTGGCATGTACTTTATATATAGTTGTTTTCTAGTGTAACAACTCCTTACACTTTCCAGCTCATACTTTGACTTTTACTTTAACAGATGCAGCAAATGAAGTATCCACTTGGCATGTACACGTGGATATGTTGTCACAGAATAACAAATACATCCCTAACGTTAAACAAATTTAAAAGTGCCTTAAAACACATAAACTTGAACCAGATAACAACATTGACACTTTTTTTCCAATTAACCTCACAGCTAATTTCCCCGGTCACGGTGAAAGATGCATAAACAATTCCATTGAGCATTATCAAAAATTCTTGTGTTTGTTTACTCGCTTTCAGTAGTTTATAACTGTGTTAACACAAGAATTATAGTTGTAACTGAATATTGTTTCCACAACTTAACTATTACAACTTATCTATAGGCATATAAATCAACAGTAAGTTTCTGCGACAATTGTGATAAACTTTGTTAAGGTGCACGAGTTATGGAAAAAAGAAAGAAGAATAAAAAAAAAAAAAAAAAAAAAAAAAAAAAAATCGCAGGGACACCGTGTTGTTGAGATGAAGCCGCAACAGGAAAAAAAGAGTGGAAAAGAATGGAAGGAATATGGCTTATGAGTTGACCAATAGGACAAATTAGGGTTTGGGCCTAACTAGAAATATAAATTATTATACTATTGTTGTGTTATATTTTAATTTATTATTTATGTTTATAAAATCACTATGTGGAAATTTTAATTTTGTGAAAAAATTACATTTAAGAAAATTTGTATATAAAAATTAGTTAATTAAATAATTAAGAAAGTAAAAAATCCGGGTTGAACCCGGTGGAACCGGTCCAACCGTGACCCGAAAGCCTAGCCGGATTTGTGTCCTCATATATTAAATTTATAATATAAATATTCATTAAATATAATATTTTAATACATTTTTTATACTTAATTATAATATTTTAAAGCATACATCATCAATTTAAATTTAAGAGTTTTACACCCACACCCCTAAGGTATGCTAAAATAACTTTAAGGTCGTCCCCGTGGTATCGATAATTATACTCACTCCCTTGAAACATAGTTAGAAACTCGAATGAGATAATGCATTGGATACGTTATTCCGATAGAGTTTTAACGGACTATTAGTTTCCGGAAGTGGTGGGGACAACATTGAGCTATGCGTGATTTAAGAAATGTTGGAGGAGCCATGTCACCTAATAACTCTACGTTGACACTACCACTAGCTAAAAGTAATAGTCCGTTAGAACTCTATCGGAATAACGTATCCAATGAATTATCTCATTAGAGTTTCTATCTATGTTTCAGGAGGTGAGTGTAATTATCGATATTACATGGACCTTAAAGTATTTAAGCATACCCCAGGGGTGTAGGTGTAATTTACCCTAAATTTAAATAATATATTATCTGAGTCATTTATAATTTTATCATATTCTGAGATGCATTATTTTATTCTAATTATAAATATTTTATGTCAGAAAATGGAGATAACATACAAATAATTGATTTTAATTTAAAAGAAATTAATGAGACAAACTAAAAAAATTAAGCATAATTTTTTTAGATTTAAGATTTTCAATAAATTAAAGATTAAAATAAAAATTGTACATTAATGTGCATTCAAACAATGATAAAAATCATAATTAATTTGGTTATAATTTCGTGATATTTATTTACAATTAATTGCCATTTAAACAACATAAAAGAAATGATTAATATAAAAATATCAGAAAAAGAAACCAACATAATATAAATCCACTCCTCACCTTCTGTCTTTCTCACTCCTATTCATCAGTTTTATCTCTCCTAAACCACTCCTAACTGAAGGGATTGTGATAGGGCATCGGATGTTTGAGGAATTTTTAGGGTGTTGAATTTCAACCCACTAGGGACTTGATAGGAAATGTACTTTTAGGGTGTCCACTAGAGATGCTCTTACATTTTTTATTTTAAGGGGTAAGTATTACCACCTCTATATTTTAAGGGTGCAAATTGTATTTAACCTTAAATATAAACAAATGAATGACCTAATATAAACAAATGAATAACTCAGAACCAGATCCGAAAATTACGGGCCTGTTTTGGTTTGTGATATTCCAAATCCAGAATGGATGGGTTTACCGGCCATGGTCTAAGCCAGCGAACCCGAATCGACGAATCAGCCCAAAACCTATTTTTCAATGTGTGGAAGTTCGACTAAAAATGAATTAAATAAAAGACAAACTTGTGTCATTTTAAAGTGTACAAGTCCCGTTACCATTGGGGTAAACAAAGTCTTGTAAAATATCTAACAATGAGTATATGAATATGATATGCCTATTGGCCCAGGTCAATAGATCCATATTAACTGGCCCATAAGCCCAGTTTAATAGCTATTTCTATGGAGGTCTAATCACATTTAAATTGGATTTGGGCCCAACAATTTAATCACAACCCAATCGACAAGGTATAAATAACGACATAATTCATTTATTAAAGGGACGCCCTATAATTTGAGTAATACTATAATTTGTATTATCTCAACTATTTCCACAATTCGCACGTCTGACTTGAGCATCAGAGGGGTTTCCGCCGGATCAACCCTCGACCTAGTTCACGTGTTCTTTGTTCGCATGTATCTTATGGTCATCTAGCACGTGAGCAGTGATCCACTTTGCTCTCCCAGCTCCATCGATCTCAACTACTTAAGGTGATCTATTTTTAGCATCATCAGTATATATCACTAAAACACAATGTAAAATGATTATAATACTTATATAAATAAATTATTAATTGCAAGACTTTATTCGATTAAGCTCTAGTCCTTTTAATTTGTAAACTTTATTAAAAAAAAATGAAACGAGCAAGCTCAACTATTAAGAAAATGTATTAATCGAATTAACTATTTTAATCAAAGTCTAATATCCTTTTAAGTGAAATTTTATCATAAAAAAATTAATTTATAAAAATCGTAAGAATCAAATTGTAAAACGTAACATTTCAATCGATTAAGCTGAAGTCCTTTTAATTGGTAAACTTTATTCAAATATTTGAATTAATTAAGCTCCACTATTGACAAGAACGTATTAATCGAATTAACTATTTATAACTAATGTCTAATAACTGTTTAGTTGAATTTTATCATAAAAATCATAAATTTTAATTGGTAAAAGTTGTGAAAATCAATCGTACTTTGTAAAATTAATTTTTTTGACATTTAAAATTTATTCAAAGATTTGAATCGACTAGAGTCTAGTTATTTCAATTTACTTCTTTTTTTTAAATTATAAAGTCCGGTTTTGACCCGAAACTGGAGAAAACAAGCGCGTCAAAACTCAGTCCGGAACTGAGTCTTGGCTGGTTCGGTTTCGATTCCCTATATTTAACGGTTCCGGTCCAGAACAGAACCAAACCCGGCATGTGGGTGTGTTTATATGTAGGTACTAATAAACTCAATGGGTAATATGCTATGAGTCCCTCAATTTGAACTAAATAACAAGTCTAAACCCAAATTTTTAATTAAATCCTTAGTTTGAAATAATATATGACCCATATCCTTAATTTTTTTAATCCCTATATTGCTCTTACACTCTAAATCTTATAACCCACATATTCACGTTTCTCTCTCAGATCTATTTTTCTTCTTTATTCTTCTCTCTCTAGATCTGTCTCGCTCTCTCTCGCCCTCTCTATCTCTCTGCTCGATTTATTTCTCTCGATCGAAAGCTATCTCTCTCGCCACCACTCCAACCCATGATTTGAGGGGAGGTGGTGGCTATGACGATGGAATCGACTATGGGGCTGGAGGCGGTGGCTTTGTGGGAGGGATGGTGATGGCGGTGGTGGCTCTGGAGGAGGTACAATGCTTGTTGGGCGGCGGCGGCCTGGAGGAGGCGCGGCGCTCGGGGTTGAGGGATCGTGCCGGTGGCGATCGACGCTAGGGGTGGGGATGGGGACGGCAACGGTAACGTGGGTAGGATTTGTGGCATGTTTAGCGACGTGAGTGATGTTGGCGTCACGGATCTGGGGTTTAGTGGATGAGATCTACGGTTTGGTGGGGCGGATCTAAGATTTTTCGATTTCATGTCTATAGTCTTTGAGTGTTTATGGATGTCTATAGTGTCTGGCGACTAGGGTTGAAAAGATGAATTAGGGTTTTAATAATATGTGATTACGGACTACTACAGTTTCCTACAAGTTTCTGTACGTGACTACGGACTACTACAGTTTCCTACAAGTTTCTATAGGAGACTACGTCCGAATTATTTTTTAAAAATCATAATTTTCAATATTACGTAGAAAAAAAAGGAAAAATACGAAAATGCAAAAAAAAATGTGTTCTAAAAAAAATAATAACAAAATACTAGATACAAAAATGAAAAATTTAAAATGCAGAATGAAAAAAATGATAAATATAATTTAAATATTACTTGGTGCATATTTCATTTTTTGTGTGTGGAATGCATTTTTGGAATGAAATTTATAAAGAATGTGAAGCACATGTTTAGTTAGACTTATCATTTAGTTCTAATAAGTTTTGTCACTAAGAAGCTATATTTTAAGCCCCCTAAACTCAAATAATCCGAAGTTAATAAGGACAATATCACGAATTATTTGGCAGCAAGTTCTGAAATAATCCTTTCATTTCAGGTATTGGCAATCCATGAACTACGAACTAATGATATTTTCTGCACACAACAACAAATGGAAGTTTCATATATGAAAATACGCATACACAAGATGTCAAGAAACATATATTATAATTTATACACATACCTAGACATGACCACGGTTTGGTTCGGTTCCGGTTCCGATTTTAGAGGAACCGGAATCGAACCGAAAATATCCGGCTCTTTACGATTCAGTTCCAAACCGGTTCCAATTCGGTTCCCGGTTAGAACCGGTAGAACCGGCCGGTTCTTAATAATAATTTTTTTTAATATGTATATATATATCAGGGCCAACGCTGGCCCAGGGCGAATCGGGCCCAGGCCCAACAAATTAATAATGTTGGAGTTATTCCGAGAGTTGCCCAACAATTGTTTTCGTAAATCTTGTATTTTGTTCCATGTTAAGAACATTAAAAGTAAATTATGTCATTTTACATGTCATTTTACATCTTATGTTTGTTTTCGATTTTCTTTTATCTTCTCTAATTCTCCGCGTATAATTCTTGACCTACCCTCACCTTTATCAATAACTCTTTCTTCCTAGATCCCCGAGATATCATAATCAAGTTAGTCCGGTTTTTTTTTTCTTTTCTTTTCATTTTGAAACATAATCTGCCTTTTTTTTTATTATCATTATTATTTTATTTTATTTGTTCATTTAGCACTTATGTACTGATATTATTGCAGAATTCTGGGTATAGGAGACTGCCTCCTATTCAGAAGGTAAATACATCTTTTATTCATTTCGTGGTACTTGCTATGACAATATGAAACAAATTTTATCAAGATTTTTTAAAAGATTTAAAACTACGTAATTGTGGGAGGGTAAGATTTATGAAATTCAGGACATCATTTGATATTTGTTAATTGAATTAATTTCGGTTTATTTAACGCTCGATACTTTTGTTTGTGCAGAATAGTAAGTTTGCTGTTCCAATTGTTTTTTTTTTTTGTTGAGTTCTTGGGTATTTTGATTTAAATTATGGACTAATTTGCAATTAATCTGTGGATGGTTCTAATATTTAATTTATATTGTCCAATGAAACAGAGAGACATCGTATACTGAAGAACAGAGAGATGATCTGAAAAGTTCATGCTGAAGAACAGGTAGAGGTTATTCCTCGTTTTTCATTTAACCAATTTCGTCAATGTTTTGTTATTTATTTATTTTGTTATGTAGCATCTTCTCGCATCTCCCTGACCTATGTTGTTTGATATGCGCCCGCTACATCCTCTTTTTTTGGTATTATCCGGCATTTACTGCTCCTATGTTTGTTGTACACCCGCCGCCTTCTCCTTCTCCATTATTCTTACCTAAGAAGTTCGAATTCCGTTCTCACCCCAATTCTTCTTCGCCGGTTTCTAACCGGAGCTTAAATTTTGACAGGCGGAAGGACAGGTGACATATTTTCATTACAAGATTGTTACAAAGCTTACTATAAATACTTTTTTACAAGATTATTTTCTTTTTGGTAGTATGCAGAATGATGGGAATTGTTGTGTCCTTTGGTAAAGTAGTTTCACCCGTCGAGTGTTTTGTCTTTGTTAGTTCGTCGCTCTTTGGTTTGAGGGGCTATTTTATTTTTGCAACATAATCTTTATTTTGGCAGCCTTTTGAAGTTTCATTTGTTTGTTCAACTGTTGCATGTAAGATATTTGTTCTATTTTCTTTCTATATTGTAGTACAAATTGCAGTTACCTAGGTCTCTACTGTTCCATTTGCACAAGATAAAGGCATTACAAGTTGCAACAGTAGGATCCTAGGTTCAGCCATTGAGGAGGTTTTGTTGTCATTACTTGATCCCAGTTTAACCAAACACACACTGGCCATTTCTTGCATTATTCTCTCACAATAGCTCATAAGTTGTCTTCACACATGGTTGTTATGTTCGTGCATACTTGCTGATGTGTATACCTTATGTTCATTTTTCCTTTTTTTTGCAGATTCAATCCGGGGCCTGGATTCGAGGATCCAAATTTGACCGATCTGCTGTTTCAGAACTTCAAAAAGGTGGTCGAGCGCAGGTACAACAAATGTAGTTGATTCTCTTTAATCTATATTAAAAAAAATTGATAAAGGGATGTATAGAATTGAGCTCATACAAATAAATCTTTGATGTCTACGTGCGTTGCATTGAAAACCAAACATGTAAACCGTCTTTTGTTTTGTCATTTCCCAAGTTTGTAGATTGTAGTTCGCAATTGGTAACAACCTTCGATTTTTTTATGTGAAATTGTCATCTAACTTTGTGGAGTTTTGCAGTGTCCAGCTTTTTGAAGTCCTCTTATGGTTATTCGTGTTAACTGTTAGAATGATGACCACATAAATAAAAAACCCCATCAACACCATAGGCACAATTTTCGCCTTGGCACCGCGCCTTGCGCGGTGCTGCCCAACTAGTGTGTGTGTGTGTATATATATATATATATATATATATATATATATATATATATATATATATATATATATATATATATCCTGTGTGCTTGTTGGTGAATGCCTATCTGGTGCTCAAGTATCCGATTCTTCTATCAGCGCTGGTATCCTATTCCAACTATTAAGATATGTTGTAAGATAAGATTCTGGTTTAGAAATAATCTGTCCCTAACACTATGAATTTCGTACTAGAAAGCTGTTAGCTTAGGGCGGATGAAAGAGTTTGCAGTCCAGAATTCAAGCCTAGGAGGATTCCCAATAAGCTAATAAGATCTTTTTTCGATTCTGCGATAGGGCTTTTCCAGTGTGATCTTAGGACTTTTTTCGATTCGTAGATGCGCGTGATAGGGTGTAGATGTTATCAACAAAGCTAGTCCTATTGCTTCCAATAGCTAGGATAGCTAGGAAGCTGAGACTGTACCAAGCGCTTTTATCGAGGTCGGCAACAGAAAGAACCCTCCCGGTTTGCTACTCCAATCACTAAAAGAAGGAAACTGACCAAAGGGTAGAAATTCACTTTAAACTCTACTGTGGCACCCGCTAAAGCAATTGTAGCAGCTCAGGCACTAACTTATTTAGCACACGCTAACAATTGAATTAAGAATGATTGACTTCTAGATAGAATGAGTAGCAGATCATAAATATACGGCAAATTGAACTACTATTTTGAGTTTAGTAGATGTGAAATAAAGAGTCAATGCAGAATAGAATGAGTTCTCATCTTATGATATTAGCTGTAATCGATTGAATGGCCAATCTCCTGCTTTCATTCCGTTTGGAATCAAGATGTGATCTGAGAGCGGATATAGGAATCCCCTGGTAGTGGTAGTTGGGTTGGTGAAATCCGAGAATGGAATAAGGCTGGAATGCTGAGACATATTGGCATTGTATTTTGCCTGAGACTTCCCGCCCGCCCCGTTCGTTATCTTATGGAAGAATTGAGCTTATTGCTGAGCTGGTTATTCAGAGCCACCAATTGGCTGTCGGATTTCGTCCCGCAACTAGAAGAAGATGGCTTCGGGGGTCACTGTGGTGTGGTTGAATGTAGAGCAGTCCGCCCTTACAGTCTTTGATCAGTAGATTATTTAGAACTTCGGAAGATGGTCAAGGCTTTTATACCAAGCCACTGCACTAGATGAGCATGTAGTCGTCCTAGTAGTCGGCCAAAAATGCCTCTATTCTTTACTAAAATACTATTTCGGATGAATGGGGAATTACGTTGCTCTTTGATCTGCAGAATAAGGCCTAGGAGCTCTCTCTTTTATGGCAGAGATCTCTCCACACCAATCACAATGGGAGAACCCCCACTAATAGGAACAATTGAAGACCTGGTTCTTTCGTCGTTGGACTTCTCAGGCTAACGTTCATATGTCCCTAAAGCCCTAAGGTAGCTAACTATTTTCTATATTCTTAATATCAAGCACAGAAGCAGGAAAGCTACCCACTCAGAAAGTCTTATTCAAAAGCTTTCTTTACTTTAGGAGAGGTCATATAAGACCGTGCTTAAAGGTCTAAAGAGTCACGTTCAATGCCCATCAGCCTACCGGAGGCTAAAGGATGAGCATGAACAAAAGAGCCCGAAGCCAAGGGCATTTTTTTCTACATTGAGACTTCAAAGATTGGAGAAAGCTATGAAGAACATTCAAGGGCTAGATCAATATGGCGGAATGGATTATGAAGATCTCTCCTTCTTGCCAAACATCAAGTTCCCTCACAAGTTGAAGATGCCTGACTTCGCCAAATATGATGGAACTGGAGACCCCACATCTCAAGGTGTATTGCGGAGAGTTAGGGCAATATGGCAATAAGATGCAACTGAGGATGCTCTTGTTCCAAAGGAGTCTGACAGGATCTGCTCTGAAATGGTATGCCCACAGATGGAGAGAGCTGGCAGCACAGGTCAAACCTCCCTTGGATGAGCGAGAAATGATATCCACCTTCCTGGAGGCACAACAGGAACCCTACTATGAAAAATGGATTGCTGCTACCGGAAGCACTTTTGCCGAGTGGAGAGATGGTAGAGAATGGTTTTAAAACAGGCAAGATTCATGATTACTCTTCTTTGAAGGCTGTGGTCGAAACTCTCCAAACCCCAGGAGCCAAGAAAAAAAAATCCTAGGATAAAACCAAAGGAAAAAAAGGGTCAAGCCTCTTATGTCATGAATGCTGGAATGCCCTATCCATACTATCAGCCTTATTAGGTCCCTGCTCCAGCCTATCAGGTTAATCCTCCCCCTGTCAATCCTTATCAAGTTCTTCGTCAAGGACACCCGGCCCAAGCATATTTTTTCTTTTTTTTGTGAAATTTTTTTCATGGCTCGATAGAGAATTTGATAAGCCAATGGATTTTCTTCCGTGTTTCAGAATACGGTTAACCAACATGTTAACTAATCGATTACGAGAAATTGGATCGGATTTGGCTGTTTTTTCTTCTACAGTACCTCGACGTGACATGAGCGTAAAAGGGGTTTAAGAATTCGTTTTCTTTGTAGAAGGGCTAAAATCACTTATTTTTGCTTTTTGACCCCATATTGTAGGGTGGATCTCGAAAGATGTGAAAGATCTCCCTCCAAGCCGTACCTACGACTTTCATCGAATACGGCTTTCCGCAGAATTCTATATGTATCTATGAGATCGAGTATGGAATTATGTTTACTCACTTTAAATTGAGTATCCCTTTCCTGCTAGGTCATACTGATCCTGTATTTTACATATCCATACGATTGAGTCCTTGGGTTTCCGAAATAGTGTAAAAAGAAGTGCTTCGAATCATTGCTATTTGACTCGGACCAAAAAGTCGAGGTATTTCGAATTGTTTGTTGACACGGACAAAGTCAGGGAAAACCTCTGAAATTTTTTCAATATTGAACCTTGGACATATAAGAGTTCCGAATCGAATCTCTTTAGAAAGATCTTTTGTCTCATGGTAATGGTAGCAAATGAGACTTGCGCATACCATTCCAATGCGCCTGGTCATGCTACGGATAAGTGCTTGATCTTGAAGCACCGCATTCAAGACATGATTAATAGAGGTGAAATTATGGTACAAAGCGACCCTGCTCCTAATGTTCAACAAAACCCCTTGCCAAGACATGAGGGCGCTGGCATAAATATGATTTCCATGGATGAAGAAGATGGAGACCCCACTCCCTTTGGCAGCATCCACTAATTCGGAACAACATTTGAAAGCCATATTTCGACCCGGACGTTCTCGGGATGCCGCTAATAACCAACGAATGGCAAGTGCTTTTCCTTGTGTGGATCCTATTTCAATGGGGACATGTATGAGAGGATCCACATACACATATATATATATATATATATATATGTGTGTCTCTATATATATATATATATATATATATATATATATATATATATATATATATATATATATATATATATATATATATATATATATATATATATAATTTGACTTAGGAAATTAATATTTTCTATTTTTTTTAAAACCGGTTCAAATAGTGAGAACCACGGTTATAACCGTCGGATCTCGGTTCCGAAAATGAGGAATCGGAACCGAACCGATTTTTTCGGTCAGTTCCGGTTTCGGTCAAATCGTTTTTTTTTTTTTCGGTTCCGGTTCTAGTTCTGGTTCCGGTCAAACCAGTTCCGGTTCAGTTCTAAAATCGTTGACCCCGGTTCGATTCCGATTCTAACCGAACCGATGATCATGTCTACACATACCCGATAACTCTCCCCTCAATTAAAAAAGTTAAAAGAATAAAAAAGAAACTTAAAAGAGGGAAATAAACAGTAAAGTTACATGGTCTGATTGTGCCAGCCGAAAAATGACAATTTTGTAATATTGGAAAAAGTCATGAATTCTAATTAATATTATTTCTCTACAGTCAACACTATTAATATTTGAATTTGGATATTTATTTGGAGAAAGTATAATTTGTACTCTTGAATTATGGGGTCTGTCACAAACATCATGCTAGACTATAAAACATAACAAAATAGCCCCTTTATTTTCATTCCGTTTGTGATGTGTTGATATGCCAGGTTGACCTCCTCTTATTTCAATTGTTATGACATTTTACCCCACTCTGCTATATCTATATGGATAATGGATAAAGATACTTACAATTTTATGTTATTCCCTTTTTAATAATCATTTTATTTCATTGAATAATATTTTTGATTTTGTTTACTTATTAATATAGTAGCATATTTAATTTAATTAATACATAAATAAAAATATCAAAAGAGCAAATATTTTCTTTTAGTGAAAGCATATAATTTTTTAACAGTAAGTTATCACTCAATTAAAAATTGCCCCAAATTCAATAAAATGAAGCTCAAATTTAAGAAATGATTAAAGTAAATTAAATTTCAAATTAAACAAATTTATTAAAGAATAAATCAACCCTTGCATTCAAATACAATTCATATTTCGACCCCTCCAATCAAGAGCCAATATATAACCCAGATACAATCAACCTAAAATTGCACTAAAATTTTAGAACTTAATCCTTATTAGAGGGATGAAAGAAGTCACGGAAATGATGAAGAAAAAACCGAGGAGATTTGTGGGTAGGGTTGATGCATAGAAAGTTGTGCATAATATTAGGAAATGGGGTCCGAATTTTTAAATATATTTGAAGGGTAAAAAAGTAAATGCAATAAAAAAGCTGACGGTGTAAGTTGTTTAAACATTGACCACAAATCACAGGGGTCATTTTGTTACGTTTTGTAGTCTGGAGAGGCGTTTGTGACAGACTCCATAGTTCAGGGGTGCAAATTGTACTTTCCCCTATTTATTTTGATTTCTCACTTTTAATTTCCAGAGAAAAGAC